GTGTTCAGGAATAGTTCACACTGTGAGCGCATCCCTCTTCGCGGTCTAGAAATAGGCGAGGGTTCGAATCCCTCAGGTGTCATTTTTTTTTCGTATTTTTTTTTTGGCTCATGGTTCAGTTTTTGATACATGCAGAAAGATGTGATATTCTAGGAAACCTCGTCTACTTACCTGAGTATCGTGTGTACAGGCCTACTTCCTCCTCTTCTTTGCCGCCCCATCAGCACCTTTGCCAGCTCTCCGCTTCTGCGAGCTGGAATCCCTCTGCTCCCTCCGCAGCACGACGCCTCTCCTCGGTCTCAGCATCATGAGGCCCCGGACCTGAAGCCTCTTTGGCGACTGGTCTTCGTACGCCGTGTCATAGCACTCGTCCTCGTCGCTGCTGCTGCTGCCATCGTTGCTCTCGCTATCCGTCGAGCCTCCGTCTGCACTCACAAACTCCGTCTCATCATGAGCTTCTCCCATCTCGCTGTCCTCGCTCTCCGACAAGATGTGCTCTCCCTGATCTAGACGATACGTCCATGCACTTACACCGTTCTGTATGTGGTACTTCTCCAGAGAATCCCTCAAGCGCGTAGCCATGAACAGAGCATGGTCCTGACAGTTCCGCAGCATGGCAACGCCCTGCAGAAACTCGTGGTGCGACCCCAGCAGATTCGCCGTCAGGACAGGATACTGGTGATAGAGCACCTTTCCATCCAGCGACCTCGATTCAAAGTGCGCGTAAAAGTTGATAAAGATGCCGTTGGTGGTAAACGTCATGAGATCTGCACAGTCGGGTAACGTCTCATGTTGCATGTGGGCGAGGGCAATGTTCCGCATGTAGACCATTGCCGCACCGTGGCGCGCGCTTGTTGCCTCCATGGCCTTGAGGTCGCCGTAGGCGAAGTCGCCGACGAGGTGCGGGTGCACGAGGGAGATTTGTCCGTGGGTGAAGCAGACCGAGGCGTGGAGGTACTCGACGTCGACGCATGGATACGCATCGAGCCTGAAGCCCTGGGCGAATCCGGGACACGGCTTTTCGATGCCGCGCGAAAAGGGGGCGTATTCGGGGAAGTCGTTGAAGGATTGGCAAAACGTCCTGATGTAGTCGGGCTGCTGGGGGTATTCCTGGAACAGCGACATGGTGCCGCACATGACGGCTTCTCTGGTGGTGCTCAAGTACGAATGCATGGTGTAAGACTGCCATTTGGAGGCAGGCCAGTCCGTGATGTGGCGTGCTGTTCGGAGTCGTGCCCGGAGCCATTCCAGGTTTTTTGGTCGTCTGGACAGTTCGGGGGTCAGGACGCCATTCTGCAGCTGTACGGCGGGATACTCGCTGGGCGGAACCAGTTTGTTGTCGAAGACCTTTGGGGCAGCACTCAGAGAGCGTTCTATGTTCTCGAGAATATCGGGGAACTCGTTCTTTGCTTGGTTCTGAGCCTGGTGTAAGTTGGCGCCTTCGACCGGGATGTTGTTCTGTCGGTTCCAATTGTCTTTTCGAATCTTTTGCAGGAGGGGGAACCACGGGGCAAATCTTTCTGGTCCGCCTGGGATCTCTTCTTCGACGGGTGTTGCTGCTTTTTTGTTTGTTCTCTCTGAGCGTCGTACCGGGGGGTTCTTTGGGGCTGCCGCCTTTCGACCTTTTCCTTTGGGGGGCATCTTGGTGTTTCCGTGATGGGGGAGAGCCAAAACCCAGAAGACTTTCTCGGGCAGTAGAGACGGCTCGGGGAAAAAAAATCTGGCTTGTGAGGAATGACTTACCGTGAGAATTTGATGTGTAGTCGTATGGAAGCTTAGGGTGAAGTTGAAGTCTTTTGTCGGGTTATATCACATTTCCATCCTGCAGTGAAAAGCCGTTCGGAACATGTTCAGCACTGAGTAAAGGATCATTGTTCGGCCAAAAAATCTATCATCTACGTGATGCAGTTTTGCAAGACTTGAATCCGTTTCCGATGAAAAGAATATAACACTGCGGCTTCTGTATAAATCACAACTTAGGGGGAGGTTTGAACATGGTGTACACGATGAAACACAATGGCGACGGAGGCTGGCCCATAACGTGTTCCACAAAGAACACATTACAATGAACATTTCGGAGAACTTTTCGCACTTTTGTATTAGATACGTACCATGAGTGTGGAATCCCATGCGTGTTCCTCCTCTCTATCGCGACACTGAACGATCGCCACCCAGGACCTGAAACAGGAGGCAAGCCCTGCAAAGCATTCAATTCCCATTGGAGACCGTTATAGACCTGAACAGCTGCAGCACGCCAGCTGAACCGCGGACACTTTTGCTCAAAGGGCATGCCGACAGGAGCAAGAGACCAGTCCCATGCATGACTGTGGCGAGGCTACATGGGCGGCTGAGACACGGCTAATGAGATTGTGAATACATACATGGATGCGCTGTGCAGCCTCCGGATTCGTGACATGATACCATTGGTTGAGAGGTTGGGTATCGTTGGGCGCCTCATTCAGGTATATGCATGCACATAGGTAGGTTCGCAGTCGGAAATTGAATGCCACATTCAGCCGCAGTCTCGTATATGAGGATTCTTCATCGCTCCCGTCGCTCTCGTCGCTCTCATCGCTCTCCATCACGTCCGCAGCATAGTCTATTCAAAGCATCCTATCTGACGCCAAAATGAAACAGAAATTTTTACGTTTCAAGAACTTCTTGACGAAAAAGTTGAAGAGGCGTCCTCACAAATCAGAGTCAAAGGGGGGAACGCCTTTTTCCGCAGCATCTGACAATCTCGCGCTTACTTCCCCGTCATCTGTTCAACCACAGACTGTTCAACCAAAGACTGCTCAACCAAAGACTGCTCAACCACAGACTGCTCAACCACAGACTGTTCAACCACAGACTGCTCAGCCACAGACTGTTCAACCAGAGACTGTTCAACCACAGGCTGCTCAACCACAGACTGTTCAACCAGAGACTGTCCAACCACAGGCTGCTCAACCACAGACTGTTCGGCCCCAGCAAGCTCAGCCCGAGGAAGCTCATCCACTGGAGGTTCAGTCACACGAAGTTCAATTGCCGGAAGCATCTGAAGCGGCCGCTACTCTGATGCACACTGAAAGTGACCCGTGGGCTCTCGCATTCAGCATGGTCCAAAAGAGGGAGGGCGAATTGATGCTTGCCTACGAGAAGTATCTATCCTCCCTGCAAGGCGACGCTGCAGCCGATGCAAGCCTCTCCACTCCAGAATTCGTCAGAGCCATCGTGGACAGGGCCATAAAGAACAGAGAGGAGAAGAGATGGATTGTCCCTCTCCTCGGCACAGACATCGAGGTTCGCAAGCAAGCTGAGAGGCTGGCGAAGCTTCTCCTCTGGTCTGAACTGATCGTCAAGTCTGCTGTAAGCAATCAGCCATATGCGGCACTCGCGTGGTCCGGCGTCTCGATTCTTCTCCCAGTGAGTCTACTTTGGCCTCTGCTCTCCTCGGCCTTGGCTAATGATCGTAGCTTGTCACCAGCGGCATTACCCAGAATGAAGCGATGCTAAAGGGCTTGAATTTCATCGGCGATGTTCTAGTATACTGGCGAATCTGTGAGGAGACGCATCTCCCGTCTCTAGATGACCCGTCTCAGCGGAATCTTCTCGAATCTTTGGCCAAGTTGTACTCATACATCATCGAGTATCAAGCGCAGGTCATTTGTCACCTTTCAAAGAGGCAGCTAACTCGAGCATTGAGCGACATATCCAGCCCTGGAGAATGGGGCAGCAAAATAGAGGACATCGACCGACGCAACAAAGAGTGTCGCAGTGTCCTCAATTTTCTCGATGCTGAGCATATCAACAAGCAATGGAAGCAGCAACTACGTGAGATACAAGAGTCGCGGGATATTCTTGAAGACATTCGCGAGGCCGTCAAAGAGAACGGACTGGAAGCTCGCAAGGCTTACGATGAAGAGAAAGCTACCAAGCTCCTCCACCTCCTCGCGTCCGACTACCAGGGCAACAAAGATTTCAATCCGCCAAGGGTAGATGGAACCTGCGAATGGTTCTTCGCGGACGAGAGGTTCCGCAACTGGCGCGACAGCGAGAACTCCCGTCTTCTCTGGGTATCTGCAGGTCCGGGTTGTGGAAAGTCTGTCCTTTCACGAGCGTTAATTGACGAGAAACGGCTGTCTACCAACGTAAAAACGTCTACCGTCTGCTATTTCTTCTTCAAGGATGGCGATGAAAGCAGAATGTACGCGCACAACGCCCTCTGTGCAATACTCCACCAGCTTTTCAGCCAAGGCTTTACCGGCAGCCTCCTTGAACAAGCTCTTACCAGCTATGAGAACTTTGGCGAGACTCTGACAAAATCATTTTCCAAGCTGTGGGATATTTTCCTACAATGTTCCAGCACTTCAAATTGTGGCGAAATCATCTGCCTTATTGATGCCTTGGACGAATGTCAAGGGGAAAGCAGGAAGATGTTGATCGATGGACTCACGGGCTTATATCGGGATTCCTCCAAGCAGCCATCAAGACTCCGATTCCTCGTCACTAGTCGACCCTACGACGCTATCGAATTTCCTTTTAGACAACTCTCTAACACTGCGACTTACCTACGATTTGATGGCGATGACAAGTCTGCGGAGATTGGCCACGAGATCAATCTGGTCATCGACGCTAGAGTGAACGAATTTGCACAGGGTTTTGGGAAGGAAGCTCGCTGCCTAATCGCCGAGCGACTGAAGAGTATGGAGAACCGCACATATCTCTGGCTCCACCTCACGATCAACATTATCAAGGGCAGCCCGAGCGAATATAGTAGACCCGTCGACATCGATACTCTTCTGTCCAGTCTGCCATCAGAGATTTCTGAGGCTTATGAGAAGATACTGGAGAGAAGTAAAACTTCGCGTTACATTGAAACCCTGCTCCAAATCCTTCTTGCCGCAGGACGACCCCTTTCTTTGGAAGAAGCGAATTACGCCTTGACGCTGGCTACAGAAAAAGAGCGATTCGGGTCCCACGAAGCGCTAAGAGATGCACTCTGGCCGCCTCATACTTTCAAGGACAGCGTCAAGAATCTATGCGGCCTCTTCATCAGTGTTCATGACGGGAGACTATCCTTCATTCATCAAACAGCCCGAGAGTTCCTTCTTAGTTCAACGAGAGAAGGGAACTGGCAGGGTCGGTTTACCATGCCGAAATCGCACAGCACGCTATCATCGGCATGCCTACGATATCTCCTCTTGCCGGACCTCCCAGCCGATAAAGGCTACGTTGAACTTGCCTTTCCTTACAAATTCCTTTCATACGCCGCTACGTACTGGCCTCTGCACTACACCTCACAGGATGTCCATGATGCTTCTCGATTTCAGACGGCGGCGCTCACGGTCTGCTGTGCGCGCTACATTTGGGCGCGATACTATTTTTCTCGCCGGGAGTGGGCGAAATGGCAGTCCTGGTCAACTCTTTCTTTCGCCAGCTATCTTGGGCTGAATCTTGTAATCCAAGAGTTGCTGCAAGGAACAGCCGACAATGACATGTCGGATATAGATATCAGGCAGGCGCTGTGTCTAGCGTCACAAAATGGTCATACGGAGACCGTCCAGACGCTGCTGCATCATGGCGCCGATGTTAATGCTATTGCATCAGAAAGTGAAGGCACTGCGCTGTCTCTAGCCTCTGGAAGAGGCCAGACAGAGACTGTCCAGGTACTGCTAGATCATAAAGCTGATGTTAACATGACTGGTGTATTCGGCACTGCGCTTCAAAGAGCATCAGAAAGAGGCTATACGGAGACCGTCCAGCTGCTGCTGGATCGTGGCGCGCATATTGATGCCATAACGAACGATATCACTGCGCTTCAGGCAGCCTCAATGGGAGGCCATACAGAGACCGTCCGGACGCTACTGGCTCGTGGCGCTGATGTTGATATTTCTACGTCACACATCTTTGGAACTGCGCTTATTGCAGCATTATCCTGCAATCATATGGAAATTGTCCAGATGCTACTGAATCATGGCGCCAATGTTAAGGTCACTCCTTGTACATCAGACGGTTGGGGCACTGCGCTTATTATGGCCTCAGACAAAGGCGATACAGAGACTGTCCAAGTGCTGCTGAAATATGGCGCTAAGGTTAATGTCACTACACCAGGCAACCTTAGCACTGCGCTTATTGCAGCTTCAGCAAGAGGCCATACGGAGATTGTTCAAGTGCTGCTGGATCATGGCGCCGATGTTAACGCTATAAAAGGCTATTATGGTACTGCGCTTATTGCAGCTTCAGCAGGAGGCTATACGAAGATTGTTCAAGTGCTGCTGGGTCGCGGCGCCGATATTAACGCTACAGGAGGCGATTATGGCACTGCGCTTGTTGCAGCCTTTAAGGGAGGCCAAATAGAGACTGTTGAAGTGCTGCTGGATAACGGTGCCGACGTTAATCCTGCATCAGAGCAGATTGGCAATGAGCTTAAAGCAGCAGCAGCTCGGGGTGATATAGAGCTTGTCCAGATGCTGTTGGATCATGGCGACAGCATCTTGACACATGAGCAACTTGACGATGCGATGCTTGCCGCGACGCGTAATGGCAAAAACAGAGACTGTACAATTATTGCGAGAAAAGAAGGAAGCCATAGGTCTGGGAAGGGTTTGATGTATGTATGCAATATATAAGGTATGTATATACATGTCTCCAAGGCATAAGGCAACTCAACCCCAGGACTCCACTAACCTGATAGTACTACTAGGTAATTTATTCCTTTCCTTTCTGTTTGTTAGGTATGTTAAGTGGTTCTTCAAGTAAGTTACTCAATTTAAGTGCCTGGAATGCATGGCGTCAAGACATGCGTTGTATCAGCTTCAGATTCTTGACGAGGTAGAATGGGTATCTTATTCGTATACTTGTTCCAAAATTCGTTGTAAAGGGAGCGGCTATCCGGTATCCCAGATTTGCAAATGTCAAGCAAAGAAGCTGGGTGATCTTTGTACACGTTGCTCAATGGACTGGAGAAGGAAACATGGGCGTAGCATGACATGAATTAAATAGCTAGGTAGCAATAGTAGCAGAGAGTAGTCATCTTTCCTCTGCTTTTGATCGTAGCAGTAATGGAGACATATATGTGCTGGGATAGTGAAGCAAAATTGTGATTGGAAAGTTACTCGTTCTTCTACATAAAGTTTGCCAGTCTTACAGATTCCCGTTACTCAAGAGAAACAAGACGGTATCTTTGAACCAGGGGGGAAAATAATGAAGAATTGAAACTAGATTAACAGGACTCGATGTGCTTCATATATTCCGTTCCTTTATATTATATGAAGAAGCCATGGTTTTGTTCACGTCAGAAGGCATGATTCTATCTGTAATTGGTTGAGAACCACTGGACGTTGCCGCTTCTCTCCTCGATCATGCTTCCCAACCACCTCACTACAACGACGATGCACTTCTGCCAAGGTTGTTGTTGGACCAATACTCAATTCCAGTCAGCAATCAAAAACTTGGAAGTCCAATCGACGGATTAATCAATCCATAACAGCCAAGTCAGTCGGGGCCATCTCGTCAATGCACCGCCAGCGAATAGTAGCGATCCTCCAGCCACACGTATGACCTCATCCACTCTGCCCCAAAAGGGAAGGCCACCCAATGCAGCAATCAACACACCACCAACATCCAATCATCAACCCAACATTGCCAGCCCATCACCGAAACAATGGCTGCACAAAAGCGTGCAGAAAACACGAAACAAGGAGACAGCGAATCAACACGGGATTCGCTTACCAGCGGCTGCCCGCGTCCAGGCAAGCGTAATGCCGCACAACTGGCGGGAGAGGGACAGCAGACCACGGGTTATTTTCTAGGTGATGCCAGAATCTGGAAGAATACCAGGCTCGCAAACCGGGTTTTTGGCCATGGATGGGCATCTATGCGTGTCGTATGCCCTGCCGCTCACAGGGGTCATGTGTGCTACGTATGACGACGGAGCTGCAAGTTGGTGTCGTAGATCAACCCAGACCATCCAACCCAGGGTGAAGCCGCGAATCGAATAAATGCAGCGCCTCTGTCCCTCCGGACAATTCGACTGAATAGTCTCTCTGTCTCAGTCTCACTCGTTGCCTCTTTCACCCACATATCCGGCTTCCTTCCAGATACACAAACACCAAGAAAAGCAGCATCACCACCAACCACCAACCACCAACCATGGCGCTCGACCGCATCGTCAACATCGTCCTCCGAGCCGCGGAGCTCGTCTTCGCCGCTATTGTCGCCGGCGTCACGGGCGAGCACCTGCACAACTTCCGCCACGCGTCCAGCTGGTCCCAAGGCCGCTTCATCTACACCGAGGTCGTGGCCGCGCTGTCCATCTTCTTCTCGCTGCTGTGGCTCGTGCCCTTTTCGTGGTCCTTTGTGCACTGGCCCGTCGACATCATCCTGAGTCTGTGCTGGTGGGCTGCGTTTGGTCTATTGGTCAATGTAAGTGACAACTCCATGATTATTTTCTCCTCTCCTGTTTTTCTACTTCATTCCCTCTTTTTGCCATGGCTTGTGTGCAGAATTGAGAGGCTGACAATGTACGTCTAGTTGCTCGGCAACTCGTGTGGCTACATCTTCGACTGGGACAATGTCCACCCCATCTCCGGCGACCAGTGCGGCAAGTTCAAGGCCGACATTGCCTTTACCTTCCTCTCGGCCCTGCTCTGGCTCGTGTCTGCTCTCCTGGGCATCTTCTGGGTCAGCAAGCACCGTCCCGCTCGAGTCGATGCTGCTCCGCGCCAGAGCAGTGGCCGCTGGTACCGCCGCCGCAGCCGTGTCTAAGAAAACTCGTCTTAACACTTCGATGCCCGAATTCTTTGATACCCGATACCCAGTTGTTGAATCTTCTTTGATACCCGATACTCAGATACGAATGAGCTTTACGCAGCCTTGAGAGGCACACGGTCCTTTATGATACCTCTTGATATTGATCCCTTAATTTATACCCCCCGGTTTACACAGCTGTTTCTTGGTCGATTGCGGCTCATGATGAATGATATGAAAAGGTGGTTGGAGTTGGGCGGATGATTACGAGAAAGTGGGATGGAGATGATGTCGCTTCGGCTTTCAGTTTTGCTTCTTCCTGTCTTATGCCATACTACGGCTTCTAATGACCTTCTATAATGACCCTTATACCCAGCTAAGCTAGCACTCAATATTCAATCTTGTCTTCTTTTTCTGCATCCATTATTGCGATCGAGACCATGGCGTCTGATCTCTACTTGAAGTCTAAGAGTTATACCCAACATGGAACATTCCTGCTTCGAGAAGATGGCGGGCTAGACGTAGAGTTTGTGCTAGAGCGCCCTATTTGGTAATTGAGTTCCCCTTTCCAGCATCTCCTCGTTCTTGATTCCAGCCCTCGGCAAGTGCTAGAATTCCATCTCCGTTGCCCTACCAAACGCCATGATCGAGATTCCCCAGATTGCCATGGGGCTTCACGTAGATTGCAAAATACTGGAGTACCTAGTCTGTATGTACGTCAGTGAAGATCTTCCCTATCCACGTCACAACCAGCAAGACAAACAACTTGCTGTGCCACAGCAGCACCTCGCTGCATGTATGTATATTGGTATACCGCTCAAACAAGCACAATCAACTTATCGATTGGCTCAAAACCAAGCTTTTTTTCCTCCTCACGAGACTGCCACATGGACGGCTCACCAGCCACAAGTCCAAGGGCATGATGCAACGATGATTGCAGTTGCGCCACCTTTGGGCCCACCACGTGCGTCATCGCGCAACTCAATCCAACTACCAGCCGTCTCTTTGCATCACCATCACACACTACCAACTTTGACAATAATACCTACATACGCAAGAAACGCGGCCGTGCAGTGGCTTGGTGTAAGCTATTCTCCCTAGGTAGCCTTGATTCTCTACAGTACTACCACAGTATTATTGGCATAACCATGGCACAACACAAACCTGGCCCATCACGCGGGTTACCTAAGCTCGGCACTGGCCTCCTGCTGCTCCCGGATGCAAGTCATCTCTGGCTGATCAACGTCACTATGCCCCGGTATGACGCTCGACGATTGCAGCTTCGTGCCGTTACCTCATAACTTGGGAGCAGCAAGAGGCGCTATGAGATCTGTGGCTGCTGCAGCACGGCTTTGGTTGGGCAAGCAAGAGCATCCCGTAGACAAGAACAGCGGGCAAGCTTCAAGGTTGGACGCCATCAGCTTGGAAGTTGCAGCATGAGCAACCAATGTCATCATCGGAAGCGAGCAGTCTCTTCGTGAGGAAGGATCCAGCTCCAAGCTCTATATAACTGCCGTGCTCCTCCGCTGTTCCTGAAATCTCATCAGAACATCCCCAACACTCTACCACAAACTGTCAACCCAATCTTATACCCAACAACTACCAACATCCTTGAATACCCATCACATTCATCATCATGTCTTCTCTCATCAACAAGGTCAAGGACAAGCTCCACTCCGACAACAAGACGGAGCAGCCCGAGGGCACCCACGGACCTCACAGCTCCCGCGCCGCCAACGCTGCCGACCCTAGAGTTGACTCGGACCGTGACCACCGCGAGAACTTGGGCAAGCATGACGGCTCCTACACCACCGGAGGCGACAACTACTCTTATGGCGCCGGCAACACTGCCACCACCGGCACTACGGGCACTACCGGCTTCGGCTCCGGCCCTGGCCCTGCTTCCAACACGGCCGGCATGCACAGCTCCAACCTGGCCAACAAGGCCGACCCTCGAGTCGACTCCGACCTCGACGCCAGCCGCAACATGGGCATGAAGTCTCATGGTGCTACCCACGATACCACCACCACGGGAACCACTGGCACTTCCGGCACTACTGGTTACGGAACTGGTTCTCACAGCACACAGACTGCTGGCATGCACAGCTCCAACCTGGCCAACAAGGCTGATCCCCGAGTTGACTCTGACCTTGATGGCAGCCGCAACATGGGCATGAAGTCTCATGGTGCTACTCACGGCACCACCACCACCGGCAGCAGCACTGGCACCTCCGGAACCACTGGGTTCGGATCTGGCTCCAACGCCACCAGGACTGCGGGCATGCACAGCTCAGACATGGCCAACAAGCTCGATCCCCGAGTCGACTCGGATCTCGACGGCAGCCGCAACATGGGCATGAAGTCCCACGGTGCTACCCACGGCACTGGCAGCACTAACACCCACGATACCTCTCTGAGCTCTGGAGGCATGGGAACCGACACACTGGGCTCCGGAGGCCTGTCTAGCACCACTGGCTCGACTGGTGCCTACGGCACTACCGGTGGCGCGCACCCATCAACGGGCTTTGGCACGACTTCAGAGTACCGCACTGGGGACCGCAACTTGGGCCAGAACACCAATGTCCTGGGAGGCGATTCGACTACCAGCGCCTATGGCGGCGGCATGGGCAGTGTCGGCGGAGGCTTTGGCAATGATCCCCAGACGACCGGCCCTGCCCCCAACACGGCTGGCCCGCACAAGTCGGACATGATGAACAAGGTCGACCCTCGCGTGGACAGCGACCTCGACAACAGCAAGACGGTCGGCGGTGACAAGACCTTTGCCCAGTCGTAAGTGGGCAAACGCCTCTGTCCCGGAACAACGGTCGCCGACTTCGACGAACTAACACCTCCAGGGACAGCAGGACGACGGCCAAGGATCCCACGGATGCTGCTCAGGTGCCCCCTTCGGTGTTGCAGAAGCACATTGGCAAGCCCACCATTGAGCACGACAACCACAGCTACGACCGTGAGCGGAGGCACAGCGTTCATCAACGGGAACAGCATCATGGGTTGTAGGCCAGGAACTTTCTGATTGATGGCTCATGAGATATCCAGTTTGTACTACTAGTATTATTGTATTTATTAGCGCAAGGTCAATGACATGATGACTTTTAAACGATTCTGGACTTTTCCAACTGCAATTCTAACGTGTGTGATCTTGGACCTTTTTAGAAGTTGTAAAGTTGGACACTACTCTCTTCCATTAGTCTGTAGCACTTCTGTTCGATCTCATGTGTCCAGCAAAATGCAATTTGTGGACGAATTCTCGGTTACGCTCATGTTGCTTGGAAGAAGTGTGATATCCTTCAACTCCTTCACATCTCATAACTACGTAAACATGCGGAATTCTCACTATTCAACACCCTATCTACTTCGCACAACATATTTGAGTCATAAGGGACACGTCAATATGTAGGGCACACGCCTGTGTCACCCACTCATCATGGCACGTCGCACGAAGCTGCCAGGCGAACACAGAGGCAACCCTGTTGTGAAATGTGACAAGAAGGGGCCAATCGCAGCCGGAAGCAAACAAAAGATTCGGTCACCTATCAGACACGCCACAAAGCGGTGCGGCTGAGTTTTGAGCAAAGATGGTAGTATTCGAGCAAGGGGGTTGGTGGATGCATCGGGAAACCCATGCAGCTTTGGCTGTACGTCGGATCAAAGAGAGCTGAAAAGGAACAAGAAAAAAAAGAGATTCGTCATTTTGAGGGAGTGATGAGAACTACTACTGCTGCATATTAATACCGCTGGGCGGCGGTCTCAGTCGGGGACATTTGAGGGAGATGGAAAGGAGGGGGGGGGGGGGGAGGGAAACCGGGTTTTCGGGTGACACTTGCTTAGCGGAGAGGGAGAGTGAGTGGACTGACGAGAAAGATGAGATTTGAGATTTGAGATGGAGATGGAGATGGTGAGAGATGAAAAGTTGGGATCTGATACGATGAGATACGATGGACACGATAATATTACAGACAAGGCTCATCATGTACCCGTACAAAGGGCGAGATGCGGTAACGTGGGGAGGGGAGGGGTACAATGACGAGGTACCTGTCGGCCGACCAAGTGACAAGACAAAAAAGAGACATCAACACCAAAAACCCCCACATATTCACATTCATCCAACTACCATCGACCTCGACAGTGGCCTTGTTCTCTCACTCAAGCCCCCTCTTCTCGCTCCCGGAGTCTCTACACTGTCCTGAACGGCCAAGGGATACAATCTGAAAGGCACTGAGTATTGATCTCAATCAATATACACACCCCCAGGACGTTGCCCCCGCGGTGCATGAGTCGCGTCTTCCGCTGAAACCAACCCTCCACACTTCGTCGCCATGATCCCGCCATAACCCTCGTCGCAATATCCAGCACTACCTACCTACCTACTATTACTACATACTTCAAAGTCCAGCACAGACTCTGATACACCCAAATGGCCACCCCGACGCCCTCCTCGTCCATCCCGCAGCGCCTCTGGGCCGCCCAGATCCCCCTGCACATCACTCACCGGTCCGCGCCCTCGACCTCGACGCCCCTCATCACGAGCGTCCCGCGCTTCAGCTACCTGTCGCTGCTGCTGCCGCGCCTCTCGGCCTACTTCGACGCCCCCTGCTCCAGCTTCCACTTCGAGGACGTGCAGCTGAGGAACCTGGCCGTGGGGCTGCTGGCCGACCTGTACGCCCCGAGCCTGCCCTGGCGCCTGGTTGTGGATGACGGCGTGGCGTGGGATATTGGAGATACCTTTTTGAATAGTGTCAAGGAGGTGAGCCAGCCTTTGTCCTCTTTTTTCTCCGTCTCTCTTTTTTTTTTCTTTGACCTCACTTCTGGTTTTCGTCTATCCGGTCGATTCTCGTGTTGTTCCCGTTTGCTTGCTTGCTTGCTTGATTGCTGCGTTTGATGGCTTGCAGGGCAATGCAATTAGAGAAACACGGCTACTGTTGTGCTTCCACCTTTCCCCCCTTTCATGCACCTCTCATCACACCGGTCCTGTAAAATGGACGTGAAGCACACACACAGATAGACACACACATGTGCCTATACACATTACAGTACACATACAGAAAGACATGGCACAAAGCAGGGAGGGAGAGTTCAATTTTGCTCATGCTGCAAGCCCCAGGCCGACTTCATCCGCTACGGCAACGCCAACCAAATCATGAAAATGTCCAAAGAACACACCACCCAGCTCTGGAACTCCGTCATCGACAACGACTACGCCGCCTTCTCCAAGATACACACCCGCCTGCTCAACGCCCCGGCCACGCTCAAGCACGCCCCCATCCGCATCTACATCCCCTCGAGCACCGCCGGCGGCGCTTCTGGCGAGGGTGAGGGTGCTGCTACTGCCGCCCCTGCAGCCGGTGAAGCTGGATCGTTCAGAGTCGTCCAGTCACTGGTCCCCGTCGTGACGCCAGACCGCAAGCCAAAGCTGCTGGGGCAGGCCCTCAAGGACCTCATGCCTACGCTGTTTCCCAGCAGTCGGGATCCCGTGCTGGCGAGCGTCGTGCTCCATGGCGTGCCGGCTCCCTTCAATGCCCCCTTGGGGGAGATGATGAGGGAGGCGGCGTACCCTGATGGCTGGCTTTGCTTCGTTGTTGTCGTCTGAGGGGCGGTAATGGTTTGGTTTCACGACAAAGCATGGCGTCCCGTGGTTACGCTGAGGCTTTCGGGAAAGTCTGTCGCATCATGATGGGGCGGAACGGCGTCTGGGAAGGGGCTACTAGCGATTTTGGATTCTCTTGGTTTTACTACGTTGTATTAGACTGCCGTGACGGAATTCTGGCCATCCATACAGTCTTTCTGCTATCTGGCATTTACTTGATACTCAATCAAGCCAGGTGCAGCTACGTAAACCTAACTTCCTTGCCCATGAGGCTTCTATACGCATTCTCAATGGCCTTTCTCTTCCTCTGCTTGGCTTGTTCATCCTCGCCAGCCTCTTCGTCCTCGTCCGCATCCTCTGGCCCGGGAACGTGCGGCATCCAGGCCCGTATCTGCCCGTCCAGATGGGCGCTGTAAACGGCCCCGATCGAGTTGCCCCCTCCCATGGCAGGTCCAACCTGCCCACTCCCACCCCCTGCACTACGCCATGCAATGTTGGTGATGCGGTTCCGCCCCGCCTCGCTGCCCCGGACGCCCGTGGAGTGCGTCGAGCCGGGGCTCCGCAGGCGACTCATGACAGTCCCGTCGTGGAGGTCCAGGAGCAATATCTCCTGCTCATTGGGCCAGACGAGCAGCTGGCGGCCCGTGGAGAGGCCCGACGGGGTGACGAGGAAGCTCGCAGTCTTGGCGTGCTGGTTCTGCACAATGGCACCAAAGCTGGCAAGCGTGTTGGCCCCCGTGTCGGCGTCCCAGACCCTGATGCGGCGGTCAAGCCCAGCCGACACAATGTACCTGCCGTCGTCGGTCCACTGCAGCCCGTTGACGGCCTCGTCATGGGCCTGGGACGAGCTGCGAAAGTGCGGCATGCTGCCCCAGTCGGACCCAGACGCCACGGCGTGTCTGAAGCGGTGCACGACGCCCAGTGAGTCCTCCTGATCGAGCTGCGCGATAACGCCACCGGCGCGTCGAATGTCCCAGACGCGAACCCTGCCGTCTGCGTGGCCACTGACGAGGATGTGTTCATGGCGAGGGCTCCACGCCGTGCTCAGGACGGGGCCACCGTGGGCGACGAGGGCCTGCACCGCTGCCCCCGACTTGAGGTCCACGAGGCGGACGTTCGAGTGCTGGGTGGCACACGCAACAAGCAGATGGGCCGCGATCGGGCTGCAGGCGTGCGAGTAGACGGTGGCATTCAGGTCGAACTCTGCAGACAGGGCGCCCCTTGCCGTGGCCCACAGCTTGAGCGTCTTGTCGTAGGAGCTCGACAGGAAGGCGTCGGGGTCGAAGGGATAGAAGGCCAGGTGCGTGACGCCGTGGCTGTGGCCGCCGCTCCTGGGGCCGCCGGTCGAGCGCGGGATGTAGCCCACGGGCCGAAAGGCGTGCGTCTCGTGCGGGCTCGCGCAGCCGCTGTCCAGGTCCCAGAGCTTGATGGACCCGTCGGCGCCCCCAGAGACGAGCAGGCGGCCGTCGAACTTGTCCAGGGCAAGGCTGCTCACCCCTGCGCCGTGGGCGCGCAGCCGGTGCGGGCGCTCGTCCGGGTCCAGGCCCTGCGCGGTCTGCTGATCATGATGCTGGGCCGCCGCCAGCAGCCTGGTGTCGCCGTTGAAGCGGTGTTGCGGCGCTGGCTCAAAGGAGCGCAGCAGCTGCGAGGCCACGATCTGCGCGAGGTCGCGGCTCGGGAGGTCACCCACCTCGCGGGCCAGCAGACGAGACTGCATTCATTGACGCTTGTGTGAGATGAGTTGAGCAGATTGTATTTTGTCAGTACCAAGGTCGTCGCTCGGATTGTATGTAGGTAATACTTGGTTGCTCAGAGAGGAGTAAAAGTGAAGATGCCTGGATGAGGTTCGAGCGAGTGATGTCACCGCCCAAGGCGGTCAGCACAGGACTAATGCACCCCACAATTGCTGCCAGAAACCACACCTCACCGAAAGGGCGCCAAAACTTTGTTTCGACAGACATTTTCAGGCCTCTCCGGCCTCAACCTTGAAATTTGCAGCGTCTCTCTCATCACCGCCTGTTGCCGCCAGCAGCAACACCGTGGCTGCCTCTCAGTTCTCACCGGCAGGGTCTCGTCTCACTGCAGCAGCTGCCATGACAGCCGCGATACACCGTCGCGTTCTCTCTGCATCGCTTCGGAACCGGTGAGGAACGGCACGGGACAAGGGGATCTTCGCTTGAACTGCCCAGTCGGTACATATCAGGACCGTTGGCCGGGCCGAAGCACGGGCCAAGGGAGCAGGGAGAGCAAAAGAGAAAAGAAAAAAGAAGGGGGAAAAGAACAAAAAGAAGGACTCCAAACTCCAGGGAACGAGGCCGGGGGAAGCCATGGACGCCGCAGACGAGCACACAATTGCCGACATCGGGGATCCGTCGCATTTGCACAGCAAGCGCCACCAGGGCCAGCGCATCCTCGCTACCGTCTACGATGCAGTCGCAGGTAAGCTAAAGGGGGGGGTCCAAAATGAACCTCTCCCGGCCGTCTGGGAAACTATGAGCGTCACGTGAAGCTAACTGTATGCAAGGAAGAGTCACGTACGATGGAGTGTTGCGAGAGTCCGAGGGCCAGGACCGCAGGAACCACCAGCCTGGGATCGTCGAACAGCGATCGGCCCGAGATGGCCTCAAGCTGGCTCCAGACGAGGCCTTGTTTCGCCGCAAAGACGCTCCGGAGCGGTATGCGGAGCACGACATCTACCGCGCGCACGAGTGGGAGCTGCCCAACGGCGGACAGGGCGTCCTTCCCAAGAGCGACCTCCTCAAGGCCATTCACGAATACTCGTCTGAGTTTTACGGGGCGCTGAACCGCCATCAGGGTGTGCTCGACAGTGGACGCAACCTGGACGAGCGCAGCATGGACGAGACGGCACTGCTGGCGCTGGGCATCCTGCTGGAGGAGGCGGGGCGAGAGGTCCTAGGCCGACGAGGGCATCTTGTCTTTACTGAGGGCACCAATGATGACCATGACGACAGCGGCGGTGAGCAGGACGGGTTGGGAGGCAGTGCGGCGCAGGACTCGGGCGGTGATACTGCGGTGACCCACGAAAGCGATGAGCTCCCAAAGCAGGGACGGAAGCGAAGAAGGCTTGCGAAATCAGATGACGACTGATTGCAACGTCGGTCCCGGCAAATGACCATGATGAAGTTGTCGCCCTGCAGGGACCTTGTTTTGGAAGTACACATTGCTGCCCAGCATGAGCAAGGGCGATCCCTTGGGCTGCGAAGCAGGTTTCGTTACGAAGTGACAGCAGCCAACAGCTCTTGAAACATCGAATCAAAGTCCGCACTGTCGAGTTATGATGCACACGGGGTTGTTCGTTGCCTTATCGAACCAAGGGAGGGCTGTTGGTCGATGGTGACCGACAAGGGATGTGGCGGGTTTGCTCTTCCGAGCCCTCAAAAACCCGCATGCCGCAGATGGTGAAGGGACTGGACTTGCCAAAAGGCCCCAAGGGTAACCGAGCTGTTGGTTACTGGCTCGGGAGAACAATCTGGAAGCTTATGATGGACCTCATACCGCATGGGTCTGACACCTGGGCTCCTCTAACATGAGGAGCTCATTTACAAGTAGTATATACCTACCTGGAAAGCAGCGAGTTAGTTGAACTCGAGAAGGGCTCGAATAGGCGGACCCCTCGGTAAGGGAGCCGAATTACGAAGGGGTAGTTGTACCTTATTCGCACGCACCACACATGTACCTACCTGGAGACTCATGACGTTGTTACGGTAAACTCAAGGGACACTGTACTTGCGGACCTACAATAATACCCAACGAATAGCTACTGGCAATCCCTACTCATCAGAGGTACCGGTAATAGCATTCAGTTGTTGTTGGTTGAGAGAGCCCTCAATGTTACACTGGAGGTGGGACCTCAACAGCCAAGCCATGGATGGAAGCCCCAATACATGTACGGTGTACGGATGAGCATCTACCGCAGGTACTCGCAAGGTACCTATCGTGAAGGATCCACGGAGATACATTGACACTCATGTCCAAACTCCGCGTGCGTATTCTTCGCCAATGATAGGAGCGGATGAGCTCTTCATCCCATGCTGCTACTGTCTATCCGGGCATGTGCTCGTTTAGTGTAAATATTCCAAATACTTACCAATTGCGTGGCACCACTGGATCTCGCTCCCCATCGTTTATTTTCCCAGTCCTAACCATACCCAGGCACGGCTTGATCATCAACCACGCAGCCGGGGGGCTGGGAATTCGCAAGCATCTACCGATTCAGCTGGCTGAGATAACGGTTCCAGCAAGACCCTGGAAAGTGGACTGACTTTAAGTTGATGCTAGTATTGAATCCCGGCGGCCCAAGTAACGATAGTCTGGGCAGCGTCTCCCTCCCTGCCTTATTGCACCTCCAGCTCTCTCTCTCTCTACCTTATCAGACCTAAAGAAAGTTCCTGTACTGGGTACACCAGACAGGAAGTGAGAAGGGGGGAGGAAACATACGTGACCACTCTCCCACCCCCCCTAAAAGGGATCTGCCCGTGCCAAACTGCGCATGTGGCTTTGCTTCTCCCAACGTCCCCTCCATCACATGTGACGTGCCAAACACAAAGGGCAATGGTGAGCCGCGCCGTGCCGTCCGTCTGACGCCCACCACTCGAAATGTTCGCGAGGCTGGGAGGCCAAGACGAAGGATTGGGCGGCCACGGGCAACTGCTGCATGTGAAATGCATGGTAGGGAAGAAGGGCCAATATAAACGGGATGGATGCGGCAAGTGATCGCCACACCTACGATGCGACCCTGCGACGCCATTGTGTACAAGTTAATATCACCGTCAGTTTGCGTCAAAGGTCGTGATGACGAGATGGAACACATGAGCATCAGGGGGAAGAGAGAGAGACGGCGAGGCCGGTTGGCAATGGCTCCGCTGAAACAATATGACAAGACAAGACAAGACAAACACACAAACACGGGGATACACCCTCTCACAAAGACGGGAGAGAAGCATGACAAGTACGCATGTATCCTACTCTGTGTGCAACTGTATCGATGATGGAAAGGGAAAAGGGAACCGGGACATGGCATGACGCTGACATGGTTGGCTGCAGCAACGAGTCAACACGGCCAGACGAGATCAAACCAAGAGGAATCAGGAGAACGGAAGAAAAAAAGTGATAGTACGGACCGCGTGCATGCAGACCGAATGCACGACGGGAGGGCTATTCGTCACGCGGCAGCTTGCATGTAGTATTATGGATGGCTTCTTTATTATGTGGGTAAGCTGGGCTGCAACCCCGTTGACCGAATCACCTCCACTGCAGTTTGGCATGATACATACCTAGTAATGCTAGACGGACCAATATTGTACGTAGGTTCCTTTATTACAGACGCTTCTTGGAAGAGATGACAAGAGGAGGAGCGGGAAAAATCACGCAGCGGCACGGAGTAGGTAGAGATAGATAGTAAAAAGGCCCCCAAGTACTAGCAATCAATAATATCCTCAATGGCTTCAACCCTGCCCTGCCACCGCTCCACACAGCCATCAGTAAGCAAACTGCGCAAGATTGATCCCCTCTGCGTCATGCTGGCAGGGCCTGCGTCTTCTTCTCATTCACATCGTCCTTCTCTGCCTCTCTCTCTCTCTCTCTCTAATTTTGTGTGGTCTGATCTCATTCTCTCTCTCTATCTCTCTCTCGGCTGTAGACCGAGCCCTGTTAGCCCAGAACGTTCCAAAGTAAACACGCTGTGTCCCTTCTCCCAATAGGAACATTATTCCCGGTCAAGATTGACGGATCCAGTCTCCAGTTCCGTGTTTGTTGAACTTTTTCTGTTTTCTCTTTTTTTCTCTTTTTTGCAAGTCACACGCTGCAGACCCCCATGCTTGGCTCCCCCAATCAACATCTCAAAACGTCTTCCCCCCCCAAAGAAGCTGGATGCAGGCAAGCGGAACGATTTGCATGTGTGCCTCCGAAAATGCGTCGTTGCAGCAGGTCAAAGCTTTTCATCTTCTCGTAAGAGAAGTGCTCTCTATGACGATCAGTTTCCGCTATTTTTGGCCGACTTTCAAGATGTATCTAATAGCAGCCCAAGCATATGCCCGACCATGGGGGGTGTTATTGCTTTGCTATTCGTCCCTCTCACGAAGCCACTTGCATGCACCATCAGGTCCATCTGGATGTTCCCAGTCAGGGCACGTAATAATACAAGTTGTTGAACTGCTTGTCCTACCAATCCCGCATCTTTCCAGGCAGCATTGATACCTTCCTCCTCACCTACTTCATCAACTATTGTTTACTTCTTCTCCACTGAACTATCAGTATATAGTCCACTCACAGACAGTCATCTAGGCAATATTTGACTTGCTCCGAAGGGTTGCATGCCATCAATACTCCAAACAGGCATCGCGACCCTGGCAAACTTACCAAGTACCTGGCAATCTCTCTCCCGCAGAGAGACTCTTTCTCCACACCGAGGGTGGGAGCAATCTCATCCTTCTTTGGTGGTCTCAAGAAAGTAGACCCATGAGTTTGGGTGGGTGACAGGGAAGTTCGAGTAGGAAATCTTCTTGGGCTGTGCTTTTGCCAAGAGTACGTGCATCTGTTTCCTGCACTTAGAAGTGAAGCTTCCTTTGAGACGGATACAACTATTACTGATCGACTGTCGTCACTCGCATGAATAGTGCTATGTCTATGTATCATCATCTCCGGTAGATCAAAGCGGTATTTCGTAAGGAAGCAAGTGGGAATAGCAATCCTTGGGACTAACACCAGGACCATGAACAATGAGACTAAACAAGGGCTTTGGTAGAGTACCAGCAACAAACACTGACAACTTGACATCTGCCGACATATGTTTAAACACAACGTACATAAGCCTTTATTACGACAACATCTTTCTATATTTTGCATAGACATGCATGCCCCCAACAAGTTTGGGCGACCATGTGCCCATCACCGTTACATACCCAAGATAACCCTCGGAAGAAGCTTACGGTTACGGTAAATAGAAGTCGTAAACAGAGCTCGAGCTGTCTTGTTCCGGATTGTATCTGTTGGGGGTTAAAGCCCTCCGCAGTATAGAGGCCTGTAAAAGAGAAGCAGTGGGTAGGCACATGTAGCCAAGTCACCTCCAGCCTCCTCTGTGTACCCGTATGCTGTATGTACTCAGCCCCGTACGCCCCCAGTATTACACGCCTGGCATGTACCACCTCACTGACACAAGGCAGATCAACAAAGGTCAGGTCGGGAGTTTACCTCGTCAATTCTACCCCGGCAAACCTAGTAGGTCGTTTGGATCAATGCCTCCCAGACCACTGGTAGCGGATACATCGCTTCATGTACTGTACAAGCCCCATCTGGCTCTGCCCTCACAAACCACAACTTGCTGTGTTTTTGTTTGAGGATGCTTCTTCCCGCGCTGAGTGACGCCCCCAGCATACTCATAGAGCAGTAGATACTTTATTCGCCCTTGCAGGGTTGAACCCTCTCAGATCAAAATCCTGGGGGTGGATAATCACCATGGTATGAGAACAAGTTGGGAGATCAGATGACATCTATGTCTTTCTATAAAACCCCCCTCTCATCATTCCCCAACGGGACAGCATCTCGGTAACTGAAAGAGGTTCGCGTCGAGCGTTACAGCGGCGGTTTTAGGTTGAAAAGGTCCTGATGGCTGGCGTGGTTGTTGGCCAGAGAACATGACGTGACTTACAAAAGGGCAACAACCGACCAGGTTTCGGGGTGTGTAGCAATAGTGAAATCTTGAAAATGGGACGACTTCTTCGTAAGCGGAACTTGCAAGTCGATACAGATCTGCGACAGAACAGGAACATCAGGCCGTCATTGTGCTGGTAAACTTTATGTGGTCTTGGTACTTGGGGAGACTCGAGGAGTCACTCGCACTACGCCGCTACATAGCTGTTCCAGAGGCAAATCTCTCCCCATGTATGAATAGCAAGGCAGCTCACGGAAACGGTGTCAAAGGCACTGTAAAGAACAACAGC